GATCCTTCCCCCCCCCCCCCCCACCCACCCCCCCCTGCCATCCACCGCGCCATCCCTAATTCACTACCGATTCCAACAACGACAATGCTCCTCGTCCAACAATGGTATTTCATTGTGCGTTTGGCACCGGCGATCATTAGTCCTCCGACCGAGGATTACGCGCGGGCGTGAATGTTATCAAGTCCCATGTGTCGCTATTTATCATGCCCGCGCAATTGCAAAACTCGGCTCGATTGAATGAGAAAAGATACTGCTGGCCCTCAGTTTTCTGGCATTGAAATTTTTTTTTTATTATATTACGTATTACATGCGCGCGCTGCGAAGCCAACCCAACCAATACGCGCATATACCCAAAGTTCATCTATTTCTAATTGGGCTAATTACGGGCAAAATTGCAACCTATCATTTCGCGATATGTGAAAATAGTGCGTGCGTGCACGCACGTGTGTGTGTGTGTGTGTGTGTGTGTGTGTGTGTGTGTGAGAAAGACTACGGTAGTACTGGTGGAGTATGAGGCTCTGTAGACTTATTATTGGGAGTGAAATATATCGGACGTAACATTCATCGCTACTGACGATATTATAATATGATGAAAGAAGTCATTACAAAGAATACGTGATGATATTTATACGTATAATTCTGTTTTCATAGTCGATTGGTTGTTTAATTTGCAAAATTATGCTCGACGGAATATAGAAATGAAATATTACCAATTTAAATATTTCTTTTTAATTAACAAATAGAGACAATTGATGAGATACAACGATATATGTATATAAATATATATATATATATATATATATATATATATATATATATATATATATATTATCGTTATTGATTATTAAATTTTGACAATCGTATGATTACGAGTACAATAATATAATTATATCTACTAATGCGAATATTATAGTTTTTCTGGAGATGCGATAAGATCTTTTGGCCGAGGTACAAGACTAATTCGTTAATTAACGTATCGTGTACGATATTTGGGAGCAAATGTAAATGTTCGATGGAATCATTGATCAAAATGTACCTTTCATGTATTAAAACTATGATGTGTCTCACAAAATTAATGGATTGTCAAAGTTAAAAAATTTATTTTAAACTGTTAATTAATTTACGGCTGGAGATTTAGAGAAAAAATTTAACTAACATATAAATTAATATAGAAATCACAATATCATTATATTAATTTAACAATATTGATTTACATTAGATTCGCTGTCAAAGTTAATAATCCTATATTACAAAAATTCTAAATTTTAAATTCGAGATAGCGAGAATGATTATTAATATCTCACTTGTAATTAAACCAGTTTTCAAGACACTAATAATAAAAAGCTCGTAAAGTACTTTTTAATAATATTACATATCATAGTTGATTATAAATTTATGTCGCGGTTAACAGCTATAATTTTAATACATAAACATTGCTAAATATAAGTGGAATTTGCACCTTTTAATTTGTAATATACAAACTGATTTCCAGTAGTAAAACTTTTAAAACATGTTTATTTACATTTTTATGAAATTGTTACAAAGTTGTATAATGCATTTTATTGTGCAAATGCTTACGTGCGAATGACCTCAAAATTACGTCTAGCAAGAGCCGAACGTTGCCTTTACACATGGATATCGGTACACAAGTGGAGGAGTGCAGGAGTCCAAGAAGAAATGCTAAATGGTAATGTTCCTCTATAATTAAACGAGTACCAAGACATTATTGACTAAATACTTCATTACTTCGAGTGATAAAGGAATGACTGTTACTTTTTCTAATAAATTACAATCCCACACTAATAAATCCAGCCTATGACGGTATTTCAAAATCTATTGTTTAACAAAATATGGAAAAAAAAAGTAGAAAGACAAAATAACA